ATTAAAAGGACAGGTTTTTGGCAACAGAAAATTTTGAAGAAACAAATCTTGACAGATCGTATATTTTTATTTTTAAAAGGATGAATTAAAAAAACAGAATAACAGGCTTTGATGTCTGCCTGGGAAGGGGTGAAGAGGAATCGCTGATTTGAGATAGAAAATTCAGCTCACCCTGGGGTGCTGATATCTAGTAAAAGGACAGTCTGGCTTTGGCAGTGGTTTCAAATAAGTAGTTTAGAAATAATTTTATCATCTTTCCCTTCTTATCTCCATAAAACTAAAACGATAATGAAACCAACTCAACTAAGTATTAAAGGAATGCCTAGCACATCATAGGAGCTCAATAAACACATACTAAATCAATTTTTTAAAAATTCAAGAACTCAATTCTAAGGGAAAAGGTGGGAAACTAGAAAAAGAAGTGAATCAGAAAGTATAAAATTGATCATTATTATTCTCATAAACTTAGAAAAAAGATCTAATCAAAATCGTCCATAGAAAGATACAGGTTACCAAACAAAGTCCAAGGATTCTGGATATGTCTAAGATGGATAAAAGAGAGTAGCCTCCTCAAATCATCAGGGAATGTAGACCCACCTGCTCTAGGTCTGTCTCTTCATCTACCAATTGAGATGTTATATGTTTGAAAAATATAAAATACTATAGGCATACAAATGTTGAGTGTGTATTACTATTATCAGATTATATCAGGTATTGAGCAGCTAGTGATTCATATATATTCACAGTTTATCTTGACTTTAACCTGGAAACTCATATTATCATATTCTGGGTTAGCCTACACAGAAATATAGCAAGAATAGAGCTTCTGGGGTATTAAAATAAAATGAAAAAGCTTTTATGCTTTAGTCAACAGAATATTTTTCTCTTTGCATTTTGAGTATATTCATGTTAGAGTCAGTTAATTTTATAATTTTTCCTAGACAGTTATAAGGAGTAATAACTAATCCAGGAATTCTATAGAAAGTTGTTTTCCACACAGGGCATGGATATGTAGTGATAACAGGTGTCCAGCTCTCCAAAATACAACTGAACATATCATTTCACCTAACATTTGAGATTCTATGTGTGAGCAAAAAAAAGAAAAAATGATCTGTTGCATCAATCCCATTGCTTTAGAGGCACACTTCATGTATTACCTAAAGAAAAAAGGCCATTTAAGATAATTTTTTAATTTAGTAAAAGAGTTAAAAAAATTTTCACCCTTGAAATCTGTTTGCCCTAAACCCTTACACAAGTTAGTCCTAAGAGGAATCATGTTCAGGAATCCAAGAAACCCAGTGAGAAAAATACACAATCACACAAGCCATTCGCCAGTGACAAAGGAGTCAGCAAACTTGGAAAACAGAGAGAGCTTGTAATAATGAAAAAAGGACAGAGTTTTGTAACCAATCACTTATTTTCTTTTGAAAACACATAACCACATTAACTTTTTGCTTTATACAACCATCTAGAAACTATAAAACAGTAGCACATTGTGCATTTAACCTACTTATCAAGAAGGGAACTCCACACTTCATAAGAACTCTACCCATATAAGAAGGAAAAAGGAGACAGCTAATAGCATAGTCACAGATACAACATGAGTCCTAGCAAGCATCAATTCTTTGACGTCACCTTTTCCATTTACCAGAGTGGAGAGAGTAAGAAAGAAAGCAAGGGAGAAAAAAGAGGGAAAGAAGCACCCACAGAGGACTAATCACATTCCATAGTTACTTTTGACAACTATAGCTCAGGGTTTCATAGAACAGCATCATTTGACCAACACAATGTGGTAGGGGGTGAAGGAAACATGAGTGGAGGGAGAGGGTTTGAAAAGACAGATACATTTTACACCCTATTCCCCTCCTAAATACTCTTCATTGATACAAGCTTCTGTGCTAATCCGGGTAATACCAAGAAATTAATCACAATGCGATAAAGCTTAAGAGTTCTGCTCTTTTTGCACATGTGAGTGGTTCACAATTTTACTTTACAGTTCAAATGAATAACAATGTCATGACCAATTACTCTTTCAGGATTCCTCACAACCTTTCTCCCTGTTCCCACCATGCTGGTGTTGCTATAGCACAATTACGGAAGTGTGGGTAGGGACTTCAGAGATAATGATAAAGGGACAATGAGATGGAACCCTTGTTCTTTCTTAGAAGTCCACATCTTTCTGGTAGTAAGTCTTCCCTCTGATTTGTGGTTGTACAGAGGAAAGGGGATAGAAGAACTCAGGTAATACGGTAGAAGTTTAGTCAAGTAACTGGTTTGAAGGTATACAAGATGAGACTGTGTACTTAGCAGACACAATGAATCCAAGGCAAACAGTTGGTTATTTGATTGTCCTCCTTAGGTTGATGGCACCATAGAAAAAATTGAAGGTGGGTTTGATTTAATAATAACATTAATCAAAGGTCTGCTACAAGGAAACATACTTTAGATGAAAATTAGTATAATGATTCTCTTCATTTCAGAGAAACTCATACTGTCCCTCTCACTTCCTCTTCCACCATAAGTAAGCAAATACATTCTGGAAGGTTGTCTTTAAACGGCAACTCAATATCAGACTCTTGCCAGTTCATATAAGAAAGGCATTATGAGCCATACCAATCAGCAGGTTCCTCTCCACCAGGCAAACTTCTCATATTGATTAAATTAAGCACTTCCAAATCTAATGAGATGCTTTTACTTTTGCATATTTGGTGAGTAGAGTGTGGTTTAATGCTGGCTAAACCACTGGTTTGTAGCATTGACCAGCACAAATTTCTTACGCTCTAAAATAACTATCCCACATTACCGTGGTGCTCTGGCACTGTATAGATTGAAAATACAATGCAGAAAGTTAGCCTTTAAAATTTACTATCAAGACTAATACCCGAAATGCAGAAGTGTATGTGTGGTTAAGTAATTTATACAATCTCACTTTAACTCTCCTTGCTTCAGCTAATCATCACAAGCAAGAAATAAAATTTAGATGCACCATAAAAAGAAAATGAACTAAGCTGACAAATTTGATTTATTCTTTACTTTTTCCCAAAGTTCTACTAGGACTTTTATTATCTTAACCTAGTGACTACAGATTTTATCTGTAATGATATTGGCTTTTTAAATTAGACTTGAGAAACGTATGGTGATTTTGTAGTTGAGCAAGCCATAGATACAACATTATTTTTTAAATTTGAGAAGCTATCTTAATTTAAAGTATTTAAATATGTTATATAGCAAGAAGTACTTATTTTTTGAGAGTTAGGTAAATTTTACACAAACTATTAAAGAAAAATAATAATCTGAAATTTGTTTACCAAATAAAGTGCAATCACTTCAGAGAATCCTAAGTTTTTGAATAAAATAATGCCATGGATAGGGTTATTTTCTAAATTATTTTCCTTAGACTAAGAAATTTTTCTAGTCATTGCTTAGAAAATTGCATTTGGGCATAAAGAATTATTTCCTGAGTAAGGCAAAGTAATAGAGAAAAACAATAGGAAAATAAAGGCAGGTCTCTACCGGCAACGTAATCCACTGAAAGGAGAGACAGCTGGGCATCACCTCCATGCCATCAAGCTCACATACTTTCCTGACTGCCCTGACTTCTGCTGCCAAGGTCCAACATCCTCTTGCTCTTCTCTGCTATCTCCACAATTATTTTATTTCTCTTCAACTAAATGTCTGTTAATCTGTTAATTACTGTATGCCTCAGTAATAGGTTACTTTTTTCTATTCTTAACTTGCTTTAGTTCACCTGTTAAGAAAGAATGAACTGCTTTCTTTAGTTATCATGAACGTACTTGGGTCAAACCATGGTGGAAGGATATCATATATCAACAAGTTACTTCTAGTAAAATCTCAGTTAAAATCTTAGAACTCTCATGTTGAGAATATCAGGAAGTCATGGATCCTAGGGGCTGGGCTCCATTTTCCTTCTTTAAGGGTCTATACAGGTTACTGCTAAAGTGATTGGTGTTCTCTCACATGGTTGCTTCTGAATCTGAAGTTAAGCAGCTTTCTTAAGGAGAAAAATGGTAGATGCTGGAAAAGAAAGTTGCACACGGGTTTTCAACTTCTTCCCAATCCTAAAAATAATCATTATATCCTAATTAATGATGACAATCTTCGATCATTTTATTTTCTCTCTGTATGGTATGAAATGATCAATTATTCCATTTTAATGGTAGAGGCAGTCTTAAATACAGGCACATATTTGTGCACAGAAAATAAGCCACTTTTGTCTGCTAATTTTTCTACACACATCAATACTTTCCATACTATCTATCATAAAATGAAAAGTAAACTTTGTTTGTTTATATTTCCTTTTCATTCCTTTGGGGAGTATTTTAACTGATATCATAAATTGAATGATTCTCAAATAAAATAAAACTAGAATTTCTAAACCTAAAATCAGATGAAGTTTTACCTTTTTGCTAAATTGTCGTTCCTTTAAAATGACTCTGTGATATTCATTTCCTAAGAGTTCTATTGAGAGTTTCAGTGTACAGGAGTCTCCAATAAAAGCTTAGGTAGGGCATAGCATTCACAACTGCTGGGGCATATAAAATTTAGGAGAGAAAAATGCACACTGCCTTTTTTGGAGGAAAAAATTTAAATGTATACTCTGTCTCCCAAACTACTTACTCTTGATGAGAAAAAGCCCTCTTCTCTCTTTACAGCCTTAGGAGAAAGATAAAGCTGTGTGTTTCAATACGTATTTGAATATCTGTAAAGGTAAGCTGAAAGTTACATAAGCCTTACTCTTGAATGGACTACGCTAATAGGACAAACACAACAGAAAAGGAATACATTCTAACATTGTATTATCTATGAAACAATAATACTGATTACGGCCTAGAATCATAACAGTTGAAGAAACACTAAATTGGCCATAGGATATACTGAAGCAAAAACACTGGGGAGTTTAAATACTAGGAGCCAACTGTAAGATTTTATGTCATTATATAAATTTACTAACGGACAATGAAGTTGACAATTCAAACTGCTCTGGATACACACTGTACCACCAATTTTATTTGTACAAGAAATGACTGGTCCACTGGACTTATTGATATAACTCAGTAATAATTACTGCTATTTCTTAACAGACCAGTGATATTTCCCCCATAGTTTTAAAGTACAAAAACAGAATAGTTAAAAAAAAAAAAATCCCAAGTATAAATAATGCAACCTTTAATCTATTAAGGGTCACTAACTTGTTACCACTGATTATTACAAATGATTTAATTTATTTTAACTTAAAAAAAAGTAATTAAACTTTTTCTCTTCAGTTTTGGGCCAAAGAACACGCCTGGCAAAGCATAAAAAAGCAATAAAGCCACAAAGTTGTATGACTTTTCAGGGGAAAAAAAAAAATCTCAGTTCAGAAAGGGAACAAATTTTGGAAGCTTGTCAAAATAAAGATGGAAGAAATTCCTTTAAAGAGAAACTATCAGTTAACTGATAGAATTTTGGTAGTAACAGTAACTTTAATATAATCTACTGGAATTATGACAGAGATGAGTAAAGACTTGTCATGCACAGAAGAGCTGATGACAAAAGGGGTATATTAAGGGGGCAGTAACCACATGTTTCTAAGACTAAGTCAGTGATGACAGCCGCCCTTCCACTCATTTGTTCCTCTAAAATTAAGCTGAAAACAACATAAGTAATTTACTTTCATGAAATCCACTAATGTTGACTTTGGAATCTTCATCTGGATTTGGGGGGGAAGGGAGGATTAAAACACACTTTACTTTTTACTAGTATTTATATTAATTTTGTTAGACAGTGAAATGCTAAATTTAATGCCAACCATATTCAAGGAAGTAAAATCCCTTACGGTTTTTGGGCTTATTTGGATGACTTAGGAACATAGGAAAGAAATTATACAAAGAAGTAAAAATGGGCATTGTGTACAGACCGTGATAGTCTGAAATGTCTAAGAAATATATTTTTTGTGTATGACCAAGTTTAGACCCAAAAAATCTTAAAAGCAGGTTTTCTATCATAGGATGGCATGAAATCCAATGTTCATCCTTTAAAACTGCTGGGAGAAATGGCTGCCAAGGTCTGTTTTATCAATGTAATGTGGAAGAGGAAGGATAATTTGTTCTATGCTCTCAAAAATATAGTTTCCCCAAGACAGACTTTTAATTTGATCAAATTCTGGCTAAAGTAAGTGAGCCCAGAAGAAAAACTATCCAATGGGGGTGTAGAGAGTCTCTGAAATAGCTTTGTCTTCTAATTTAGAGTAAGTAAAGGTTATTACTTCAATTACCCTACATGCTGAAGTTTAACAAGGCAAAACTTCAGTTGTTATGGTTGGAATATGGGCAAATGTATTCCATATCTGTTCTTTAAAACAAAATGCATCAGACCTCTTCAATAAATTTCCACCGGCTATATGGAAGTGTGTGGATGCTTTGTTAGGAAAGACATGCTCAGGATTTTAAAGCAGCAGCAACTTAAAAAGTCAGTAATAAAACTTTGGCTTAAAATTAAAAAGAAAGAAAAGAAAAAGTCAAACTGGTGCAAGTTGTCTCATGAAAGAGGTATTGTGGACTAAACCCTCATAAATGCTGTCCAATATTAGTTTCCCCTGTCTCCTTTCACTGTTATCACCTTCATTGCACAGGAGTTATATCATTCTTTTATGGTTAAGTTTCATAAATAATGAGAAAACTATATGTAACAAATACATCATATACCCCACCCACCCAGCAACCCTCCCCAAAATAAGAAAAGTTACATCAAATTAAAAAGTAGCTTCGTGAATGAAGGTACTGCTCTAAGGTGCACTTTCCCTGCAAGTGCAGCCAGTGCTTTTGCGCTGGGTATGAAGGAAAGGAAAAAATTCTCCACATAAACTGACAAAAAATTTAAAAACCAGTGTCCGGTTTCAACCAGTCAAAACCGGGCCAAGCGGAAGCCAAAGTATCTCGGTACTGTCCCATCAGAGGGTCCTTGCAATACCTGTTCTTCATCCTGATAGGTATCTGTGTCCTTGTGATTGTAAACAATCCCTAAGATACTATGTTTTTGTTCCTTAAAATGTCCTCTGATTGGCAAAAGGAAGTAAATATTTGTTTTAAAAATAGAAAACGAAAATTAAACCAGAAGAAAAGAAAAGAAACACAGTGAGCTTGTTTGGAGTCCATAGGATCCGATCTGGAAGAGCTCGGAAAATGTGTTATGTGTCTTCTCCTGTTTTCGGTTGGAAAGGTACTAGAGGTTGCGTTGGTCGAGGAAAGAATTGTAGAGTAGAAAAACCAGGGATGTTAATCTAGATGTCAGAGGATTCAAGTGTTAGCTTCATCATCCGTGTCTTCTATCAATACCTTAGTGTCACGAGCCTTGGATCTAGCGGTAATAAGGGGAAAAAAGCACTTAGTCCATTACTAAAATAGAAACACATCCACAGTATTAGCTACATTTCCAATCTTACCACCATTAAAAATACATCCTAAACAGGCACTATATACTGCACCAGATGGACTATTCTTGGAGTTTCATATTGAATTTCAGGTATTATGGGAAAAACACTAAGAAACTAGATTGCAACCAGAGGAAGGTAACAAGAACAATGGCAGGTCATGTGCAACAGAGAGAGAGGTACTCTGGAATAAGAAGATCTGAGTTTGAGTACTGACTTTGATTTTATGACATATCTCTTTAACCTCTTTGAGTGCCAATTTTCATCTCCGTAAAGCAGGAATACTAATACCTATTTCACATAATACTACTTTCACCTCATGGAGGTAGTAGTGTGAATATCAAGTGAGAAAATGGATGTAAAAAGCATAGTAAAGCAGTAAAAATAAGGAATTAGGATAAGGATGATAGAAATAACGCTATTAGAGGTACATATGAAAAACCAGGAGAGTTAGCAGAAAACAAGACCTGAGAGGCTTGACAGTTGTCTTCAAAACAGTTGACAAATATGATGTAGAAGCAAAAATTAATTTAGAGAGCTCAACCAGGATCAACTGGTTGAAGTTACAGTGAAGCATATTTCAGCCCAACATAAGCTACCTACCATGATAACTACCCAACAATAAAATCAGGTGGCTTATATAGTTATAAACTTCATTATCACTGATGATTGTCAATCAGCATAAGATGACCATCTATTCAGCATGCTATAGAAGAGATTCCTGCACTGGATGAAAAATAGGATTAGATACTGTTAAAAGATATTGCAACTCATGAGCCTCAAAAGGTGAAAGCAGTACTTGGTTAAGTAGGTATTATTATTCCTATATGACAGAGGTGGAAATTCACATTCAAAAAGATTAAGGATGTGCTAAACGGTGCATGAGTCACGAAGTCAGTACTCAAATTCATATCTTCTTCTTTTAGATTCCCCGCTCTCTCCATTGCATACAACTTTCTCCATTGTTCTAAATGTCTTCCTCTGGTTGCAATCTAGTATCCCAGTGTTTTTCCACTGAACATCTGAAATTGAACATAATAATCTATTGCCAAAGAGCTTCTTTGTTTCTGAAGCAGAAATAGTGTATGTTTAGATTGCCCTCTGCTGGTAACTCACAAGGATTAGACTTTCAAATTTAGGAGCTCAATGAGACAACCACCTACAGCATTGTCTTCCAGCCTTTTGTGGCACTTACCTTGCTGACCCCACCAGCCCGGCACCCCCTACTCCTGCTTCTTCAAACGCTGCTTCCTTGCTACAGTCATGTGCCACATAACTACACCTTGGTCAACGATGGACCACATATACGACGGTGGTCCCCTAAGATTAGTACCATACAGCCTAGGTGTGTAGTAGGCTACATACCATCTGGGTTTGTGTTAGTTTACCCTGTGATGTTCGCACAGTGATGAAATAGCCTAATGACAGCTTCTCAGAACATATCCCTGTTGTTAAGCGACGTATGACTGTAACAGTATCATGCTTTGTTTTGATGTTCTTCCTACTGACCTCATCTCTCTGACCATTTCTTTCCCGCCCCTCTTGTTTATTCTTTTTTCTCTGGCCTGTGTTTGTTCCCTTAGACTCAGTTCCTTGCTCTCTGCTTTTCTTTTCTCTACCTTCTCCTCTTCAGAGCACTTCCAAATTCTCTCTAAAGCTTGGGCTATTTCCACTCTGCTCCCTTGTATCTATGGGTTACCATTACCACCTCCTATTTTTTTACTTCCTTTAAAACATCTCCTTACATTCTGTTTAGTAATACTGTAAGCATCCTAATCCAAGGCCTCAATGTCCCATACTTAAGAATACTGCAATGGCCTTCTGGCCTTCAGTTTTTCATTTCCCAATATATCTTGCACAGTGTCATTAAAACTTACGAAAATATGGGGCTGGACTGGTGGCACAAGTGGTTAAGTGTGTGCGCTCTGCTGCGGCGGCCGGGGGTTTGCCGGTTTGGATCCCAGGCATGCACCGACGCACTGCTTGTCAAACCATGCTGTGATGGTGTTCCATATAAAGTAGAGGAAGATGGGCATGGATGTTAGCCCAGGGCTAGTCTTCCTCAGCAAAAAAAAAAAAAAAAAAAAAGAGGAGGATTGGCAGATGTTAGCTCAGGGCCGATCTTCCTCACACACAAAAAAAACTTATGAAAATACTGCTTTCATAACGTCCTTATATGAAAAAATTCTCTGTGACTCCTTCCTGCCTACAAGAGCAAGCTTGCACTTTTCAGCCTTTTACAATCATATTTCATCTATTCAGCTAAATTTTCTTACTATAATTCTAGTCATATTGTTTTTCTTTCTGCCTCTCATTTCCATCTTTATGTCTTTACTGTGCTCTAAGCCTATTCAAACACTCCCTTATCCTTTAGAAAACTGCTCATGCTTGATTTAAAGCCTCCTCCTCCATTCCAAGCCACTGTGATGTCTACTGTCTCTAAACTTCAAATGCAGCCACAATATATCCTACTTTCATTGTTACTTTTAGGAACATAGAAAGTCAATGACTGATAAAAATACTGTTGTAGGTATTTAGTAAGAAAATAGAAATAATACCTTATATTTATTGAGCTCTTTCTGCGAGGAAACTGGTCTAAATAAATCCCATGTCAACACAAATTTAATCCACTTAATCACCCTATGAGCAGGGACCATATTTTCCCAATTTATAGATGAGGGATGATATAGAGAAATTAATAATTAGGCCAAGGTTACATAGATGGCAAACGGCAGAGCCAGGATTCCTAAAGTTTACAACTTGAAAATTATTTTTATATAAAACATACTGAAGAATCAAGCAAATTATTCTCCAACAAATTTTCCCCAGTGTACTTCTAATGCCAAATTAGTGGGCATTAATTAATTAATGCATTAATGACATTTTACTCAATGTGCTCATTAAGATATTCTATAGGTTGGATCAAATAAAACTGCTGTTATTGCTGTCTTCTGTAGGTGAAAAATGGTTGAATGCCAGCAATTTCATTTAGTTCAACCTGATAGCTTCTTAGCTTAAATGTTATTTAGTGCTAAAACCTGAAGGAAATTAGTCTCACTGAAGTGGAAGTCATACATACTGAGAAGCAAGGCGAGGCCGGCGCAAGGATATGCTCTGGCTATACTTCCATGGCCGGTTCTTCTGGCGGTTTCGTACCCCGTCATCCTGGTCCATCATCTGCTCTAGGAGTGTCTGATCATCTGCATTCAGAGGGGCCACAGAGATGTCCCGCACAGCACGGAATTCACCACAGTTATTCAGATGTTCATTCTCCAGGCGGAAGAAGTTCCACACAAATCGCCTTAGCAAAATGGGGTAGAGTAGGCAAATTACTTATAAAATTTGAACATATTTTGTAAACCTCTCAGTGTATCAAGTTTCCACTCACAGAAACAAAAACAAGGAATTAAGGGCTAGAATATTAAAATAAAATAGAAAAAGATGGCATGGTGAGGGGGAAAGGGAACAAAAATGGAGTAGGCAAAGGGAAGAGACTCATGGAATGCAGTTTCGGAGTACTCACTCTTTTACTTTATTGAATATATATTTATTGAGCGCCTACAATATGACAGGGAAAGGCACTGAATGAGACAGGCAAAGCCTCTGCCCTTATGGGGTGTAATTTCTAGTGGCAGAGAAAGATAATAAGCAAGTAAACAATCAGCTAATGGTAAGTTCTCTGAAGAAAATAAAGCAGGGCAAGGGAATAGAGCATGCTTCTCTGAAGAGACGGCATCTAGCAGAAACCTGAATGATACAAGGAAGTGAGTCATGTAAAATTCTGAAGAGAAGTGTCCTAGGCAGAGGAAATAGCAAGCATAAAAGGCCCTGAGTTGGAAAGGCTTTTGGTGTGTTGACACAACAGCAAGGAGGTCAGTGAGGCTAGAGTGGACCAGGGAGGTTAATATGGCAGGAGATGAAGATGGGGAGGCCTGACCCACAGAGGGCCTCATAAGCCACAGTAAAGAGTTCAGATTTTAACTGTGATGGAAAAGGTTCTGGGCAGGAGAATGATGTGATTTGTTTTAAAAAGATCATTCTATCTGCTGCACTGTGAACAGATCAAAGGGGGACAAGAACAGCTGAAGGAAGACCAATTAGAAGCTATTGCAAGTAGTCCAGGAAAGAGATGATGGAGATTACGATTAAGGTAGTAGTAAGAGAGGTGATGAGAAGCAGACAGACTAGGGATTTATTTATTAAGATGGAGCTGACAGGAATTACTGACATGGAATGTAAGTGGTCTCAGGTTTTTGGTTTCAGTGAATGGTGACACCATTTACTAGAGATTTGGGCTGTTCTATTAGGCTAGAGCCATTAGGTATCCAAGGGGAAAATTCAGTAGCTAGATGGACATGAGTCTGAAGTTCAAGGGAGAGTCTAGGGCTGGAGACAGTATAAGGACAGTATTTCAAGTCATAGGTTTAGGATTAATAAAAGTGGAGAAGAGAAGAGGGCAGAGGATTAACCCCTGGAGCTCTCCAACATTTATAATTTGGGAAAAAGAAGAAGAACCAGTAAAGGAATTGAGAAGGACTAACTAGTGAGACAGAAGAGTATAGTTTCTGAGAAATCAAGTGAAGAAAGTGCTTTGCTGAGAGGTACGGTAAGATAAGAACACAGAACCGACCACTGGATTTAGCAACATAGAAAGGCAGTATGATCTAAGAGCATAGATTCTGGGACACTGTCTAGATTCAAATCATGGCTCCACCACTTACTAGGTGTAATCACCTCGGATGAGTTACTTAACGTTTGCTTCAGTGTCATCAGTAAAATGGGACAGTAACAGTACCTATCTTATAAGATTGTTGTGAGGATTCAATAAGTTAATACATGTAAAGGGCTTAGAACAGTACCAGGTACACAGTAGGCAATACATAAATATTTGCTGCTGTTGTTATGATTATTAATAAAAGTGATTTAGTTTGAGTATTGGGAAAAAAGACTTGAGCTGAATTAAAGGAAGAAGCGGGGAGGAGTGAGAAAGTGGAGACAGCAAGTACAGATGTCTCTTGAAGAGTTTTGCTGTAAAGGAGAGCAGAAAAATGGGCAATAGTAGGAGCAGGAAAGTAGATTCAAAGGAGGCTTTTCGTTTTTGTTTTAAATGGATGATAGAATATCTGACTCTATTACTAAGGAAATAATTTTTTTAAAAATAAGCAAGAATAAAAAAGAAATTGAGCTTTTTTTTAATAGAAAAAATTTTTCTGAAAAATTTATAAAGCAGCATACACAAAAGAGAAAGAAGTGGGTGGGGGAGGTCCTGCTAGTGATGGAGAGTTGACAAATGGTTTGGAGAGAGCACTGACAGCAAGTACACTGTTTCTAGACCCAAGCTTTATCTTTCAGGTTTATCTTTATGTTTCCAGGTTCTATTTGATTTTTATCAGGCCATCTTGATAAATGTGCCTATGCTGACTCAGAGGAATGCTATCCACCTTTCCAAAAATATTTCATCTTCCTTCGTGAAAGATATTTTCACTGGGTAAAGAGTTCTAGGTAGGCAGTTATTTTCTTTCAGCACACTGAAGATATCATTGTAATGACTTCTGACTTTCATTGTTGCTGTTGACAAGAAAGCTGTCAATCTAACTGCCACTTCTTTGAAGATAATCTGCATTTTAATTCAAGATTAGATACGTCAAGTGTGCAAATCATAAGTGTGCAGCTTAATTATCATAAAGTGATCATATGTGTAATTACCACTCATAAATGAGAAATATTACCATCTGCCCAAAGCTGCCTTTATGGCTCCCTCCTATGTTATCTTCTACAGAGTTTACTGATTTACCTTTCATACTAGCTCTGCAATCCACCTGGAATTGATTTTGCATCAAGTACGCAATAGGAGTCGAGATTCATTTTTCTTCCCATTTTCTCCACTGTTATTTAGCTACCTTCTTCATACATCAGGTAGCGTCAATATACGTGTGGACATGTTTCTGGACTCCCTATTCTGTTTCAGTGGACTATTTCTCTATTCTTTCACCACCACCAGACATTGTCTTAATTATTGTAGCTATATAACAAGTCTTGATATTTGAGAGTGTAAGTCCTTTAACTTTGTTCTTTTCAGCATCGTCTTGGCTATTCTTGATCCTTACAGTTTCCATATAAATTATAGAACTGCCTTGTCAATTTTCACATACATACATCTTTCATTAAATTTATTCCTACGTATTTGATATACTGATGCTATTCAAAATGGTATGGTTTTTTAAAATGTCATTTTCTAGTTGTTTGTGACCTTTTTTTAAACAATAATTTATATTTATATTGACCTTGTATTCAGGGACACCGCTATATTCATTCTAATAGCTTATTTATAAATTTTTTGAATTATTTGCATACGCAGTCATGTCATTGGTGAATATTACAGTTTTATTTTTTCTTTTCCATTCCTTACACTCTTTTCCCCCTCCTTACACTAGCTATACTTACAGTATGACGTTAAATAGAAGTGGTGACAGCAGGCATACTTAACTTCTTTCCTGATCAAGGGAGAGCTTACACTGTTTTATCATTAAATATGATCTTATGTTTTGGTACATAATCTCTATTTTTTTCATGAACAGTTACTGACTTTTCACAATGGCATTTTCTACATATATTGAGGGTTTTTTCTTCCTTTATTCTATTAATGTGGTGAATTATACATATTGATTTTTAAATGTTAAATGATTTTTGAATATTAAATCTTACATTCCTAGAATGAATCTAATTTGGTTGTGATGTATTTATTATCCTTTTGAAATATTGCTGGATTCATTAGCTAATCTTTTGTTCACGATTTTTGCATCTGTATACACAAGACAAATTAGTCTTTCTTGGAATGTCCTTATAGGTTTAGATATCCAAGTCATGCTGACTGCACATAATGAACTGGGAAATGTTCCTTTTATTGCCTCTTTTCCCTGGAAGTCTTCTGTGTAAAACTTATAATATTTCCACCTTAGATATTTGGAAGAATTCCCTGGGCCTACAGTTTTCTTTGTGGGGAAGATTGTAATATGGATTTAATTTCTTTAATAGATATAAGCCTATGAGATTTTCTATATGTTCTTTAATAGTTTCAGTAAACTGTGCTCGTCCAGGAATTTGTCCATTTCATCTGAATTTTTAAATTTATTGGTCTAAAATTGCTCGAAATATCCTTACTCTTTTATAAAAAAATCTTTAGAATTTTTGATATTTGTAATTTGTGCCTTCTTTCCTTTTTTGCTTGATCAGTCCTGTTTAGACATCTTATCTATTTTATCAGTCTCTTTAAAGAACTAACTTCGGCTTTATTTTCTCTGCTGTATGTTTGTTTTCTATTCCATTAATTTCTGTTCTTTATATTTTCTTCCTTCTACTTTCTTTTTTTTAAGTGTTTATAAATAGTTCTTAATTACAGAACCATTTCTATATTCTTAATAAATTAGAAGTCTCCGAAAAAATTTGTTTTTTGTTGGTTTTTTTTGGTGAGGAAGATTGGCAACAGATGTTAGCTCAGGGCCAATCTTCCTCTCTTTGCTTGAGGAAGACTATTGCTGAGCTAACATCTGTGCCAATCCTTCTCTATTTTGTACATGAAATGTTGCCACACCATGGCTTGATGAGCGGTGTGTAGGTCCGTGCCAAGGATCTGAATCTGTGAACCCCAGGCCGCTGAAGCAGAGTGCGCAAACTTAACACTATACCACCGGGCCAGCCCTCTTTTGGGTTTGATTTGCTGTTTTTAAATTTTTCTAATTTCTTGAGCTGTATACTTTTCTAATGTATACATTTAGGGTTATACACTCCCCTCTAAGCATGGCTTTAGCTGCCTTTTTATATTTTCTTTTGTCACATTTTCAATTTCATTCTGCTCAAAATATTTTAAAATTTCCATTGCAATTTCTACTTTGACCCATGGGTTATTTAGACATGTACTGCTTAATTTCTAAATATTTGGGAATTTTCAGTTATCTTTTTGTGATTTTTAACCTTCTGAAATTTGTTGAGACTTCCTTTATGGCCCAGTATATGGTTAATTTTGCTAAATGTTCTACATGTATTTAAAAGAATATGTATTTAGTAGTTACTGTATGCAGTGCTCTACACGTGTCAATTAGGCCAAGTTCGTTAATTGACTACTTGTTTATTATTGAGAAAAGTATGTTAAAATCTTACTCTAAAATTGTAAATTCATCTACTACTTTTTACCAATGTCAACTTTCGCTTTACATATTTCAAGCTATGTTATTAGATACATACAAATCTGAATTGGTTATCACAACTGAATCTCAAAGTCTCTAGGTACAGCAAATTTCTTTAGTGCAAAATTGGCTTTAGTGCTCTGCTTATCTTGGGGTATCCGCTTTCACTTAGATTTTGGGCTATCTTGTCAGATCATGATGTTTTAAGGAAAACTTAAAAAACATTTATCTGCCATTTTTATTGTCTCCAGTGAGAAGGCTGGGCTGAATAATCCAGACTACCAAATTGCAAAAAATGACTCTCAAAAGATTTTAATTTTAATTTCTATTCTAAGACTTTTTACCTCCTAATTTTCACTAGTGACTCTTCCAATGGAGCCCAATTCTAAAAAAGCTTATAATAAGACATCATCAGGGGCTGGCCCCGCGGCTTAGCGGTTAAGGGCGTGCGCTCTGCTACTGGCTGGCGGCCCGGGTTCGGATCCCGGGCACGCACCAACGCACCGCGTGTCCGGCCATGCTGAGGCAGCATCCCACATACAGCAACTAGAAGGATGTGCAACTATGACATACAACTATCTACTGGGGCTTCAGGGAGAAGAAGAGAGAAAAAAGGAGGAGGATTGGCATGGATGTTAGCTCAGGGCTGATCTTCCTCACACACACACACACACAAAAGACATCATGAGTTGTTAAACTTTTTGAGAATTAATGTCTTAATCCTTCAAGTAGGATTTTCTAACTCTGAGGCTGATGAGAAGTTTGAGAAAAGTTGGAAAATCTAAGCTTTTCAAGTATAAGTTTTAAAACATTCTGATTTATAAATATCAGACATCTTTAGGTAAAAAGAATCTTTGATAAACTTTTTGGTAGTTTGCTTACCGGAAAACCTCAAGGGGAGCAAAGACAGTACAGATGATGTCCCCAGAATGAGCCAATGAAGTCATGGAGGTAATTGAGATTTGGATAGTCCAAGCAAAGCGTAGTATCACATCCTCTATAATGGCACAGTAGTAATAGGCCTGTGGAATAATAAGGAAATTGAGTACACTTATCATCATGTTTCTCACAAATAAGCACACTTATCACAGCAACAAAGACTCATACATGTCCCACCAACAAGCACAGGTTAAAGAGGAAAAAGAGTTTTATTTTCATTTTATTTTATATTTTAGAAAGATTTCACCAATTTCATTTTTTTCCTTAAATGATACAATATTTAAAATGAAGTTTTACTAAATCTCAGTAATCATTTAACAAATATATTTCATTCTCATATTGTATATCAGGCTCTCTTCTACCCCAGAAATACAAGCCAGATGAGATCCTTGATCTGACTGAGATTACATTCTAATATGTACGTGATATGCTAATGACTCAATAGCTAATATTAGAAAAGATTAGCATATTTATTAACTGTTATTTGCATTTTTATTCTCAAATTGCCTTAACCTGCATTTGAAGGAAGTTTTGCCTTGCTTTTTGATGTCAGTAAATGAAATTAAACTTGGATTTCACAAACATGGTTGAATTTAAGGAATGTTCCATTTTTACATGGGAAAGATGGCACTCAATGAATTCTTCCAGGTACTAGTACTCAGTATTTAGGAGTCCAGTTTCAGCTACCCAAAAGTCTTAAGTACATAAACTGCCAATAGACCAGAACCGTAATTCATGGATTTGCTTATTACTAATCTCTGAATAATTAGCTCTTTAAGTATGCGTACTTAAAGGTTGCGACATCTTATGGGAACTAGAACCGCTACATATTAAGCCAGAGCAGTTATTTTACTTTAAACAAAGGAATACTAGTCATATCATAATGAAGGCCATTAACAAAAAAACAGCAGTCCCTTTGCCACCTTCTCTTTCTATTCTCTAGAGACAACCATTTTCAAGACTTGTAGCTATTCCTCCTAGTATCTATCCTTCATATTTCTAAACAATGTGTGTATACTGCTATATCTTCATTAATCAGTTTTAGACATTATCATTGACTGATTATGATAGATTTTATGAAGATTTTAACACATTAACATACCTCCCCGTTCCCTCCCCCATCCATCCAATATAGTGATAATGCAATTTTTGGATAAATCCACATTGAGTGAACTCATTATCAGGCCTCAGCAAAGAAATGCAATTTCATGTGTCTTTAAGAGTCAGTCTTGGGGCCGGCCCCGTGGCTTAGCAGTTAAGTGCACGTGCTCCGTTACTGGTGGCCTGGGTTCGGATCCCAGGTGCGCACCGACGCACTGCTTCTCTGGCCATGCTGAGGCCGTGTCCCACATACAGCAACTAGAAGGATGTGCAACTATGACGTACAACTATCTACTGGGGCTTTGGGGGGGTGGGGGGAGGAGGAGGATTGGCAATAGATGTTAGCTCAGAGCCGGTCTTCCTCAGCAAAAAGGGGAGGATTAGCATGGATGTTAGCTCAGGGCTGATCTTCCTTACAAAAAAAAAAAAAGAGTCAGTCTTAAGTTGATCCAGGATGACTACATGGGAGCTGATGTTACCAAAAATATGAAAGTCTTTTGGGAGGAATACACTTAACTTGAGGTCAAGAGACAGATAAAAGTTAAATTTTAATATGGAGATAACAAAAATACTTCCTGGACCGAGGTGTGGTGCTCAATGTTATGCATTATTAATCCATACTAACTGATTTTCAGTTTCATATAGCTGTGTTCTTAATTTTTAAGTGAAGCTCCACTGGACTCCACAAATAATTTCTTTCCTTTTCATGTGGAATGAATTTTATTCCAATACTTGCCTTTTTAAAATTGAAAGGAATGTGGTGATCCAGCAGAACATTTTTCTTATAAATTTGCAAATTGTAGGAAAGCATATACTTTATTTTCTAGGGTCATGAAAATATATAATAATAAAGAAACTGATTGAAATATTCTATTCACTAATCTCATTACATAGAAACCAATAAGTTAGAACTATCAGAAAGGAGAAATGGATTAACATTTATATAAAGATACAGACAGTGCATCTAAGCAATCAGCATAACAAGAAATAAATGTATTATATCTCTCAGTAAGGCAAGAATGGTATAAAGAGCAATAAGGCACATACATTTGGTGAGCACAAAAGGACCATCTTTACCTGAGTTCATGTCTGCTCTCTGAATTGTGCTCACCATTACTGATTTTCTTTTCAAACAAGATTTATAAAGATATGTCTAGTGTCTTGGTCATACAACCAAAATTTGCACATTGGGATTATGTTACAGCTTATGTAAAAAAAAGATCACTGTCAGGGCTGGCCCGGTGGCGCAAGCAGTTAAGTGCGCGCGCTCTGCTGCGGTGGCCCGGGGTTCGCCAGTTCTGATCCCGGGCGCACACTGATGCACTGCTTGGCAAGCCATGCTGTGGTGGCGTCGCATATAAAGTGGAGGAAGATGGGCACGGATGTTAGCCCAGGGCCAGTCTTCCTCAGCAAAAAAAGAGGATTGGCAGATGTTAGCACAGGGCTGATCTCCTCACCAAAAACAAACAAACAAAAAAAACAAACAAAAAAAGATCACTGTCAATGATACCCCCTTTTCTGCTTTCATTTGCTTATCTGGTCACTCTACATATCATTCTTGATATCCACTCTCCTATAATTTATCTTCCATTCTCACACTTGCAAACAGCCTGCCATACTCACCACTTGAATATTACATAATCATACATTTTTCAAAGTACAATTTTGAGGTACTCGTGACATTTTGACATAGTATAAAATATTAGTGACCCAATCTATACTCCTCTCCCTATCATAGAATTTTAGAACTTGGAAAGGATCAAGAGGTAATCTAGCATAACCCCCTACCTTATAGAAGAGAATATATGAATATACTGAAGTCTGGTTGCCCAAGTTACAAAGCTAGTTAGTGAGGGAACTGGGATTATAATTCACTTATCAGGAGTTTCAGTTCATTGTTTAATTTCTTTCAGTATCTGAGTAAAGATACTCCTGATCTTCTGACTTTTAAATTCAGCCTCTCTCGTCCTTTTATTCATATATAGATAAATCCTAAAATAATTCCTAAGGAATTATCCACATATTTTCAGCTTGAATTGGCACTTCAAACAAAAACTGGTTGAAATAAATGAAAGGAGAAGTATTTCTGATGCACCCAAGCAGAGTTAGGTGCTCCCTTTTCTTTGTGCTTTCATAGCACTGCTCAGTCAAGTGCTTATTCATTCATTCCACAAACATCAAATCTACTATATGCCAGGCACTATGCTGGGCTGTGAGGGATATGGATACCGAACCACATAATTAAAATACAATGTGATAATTGCTATAATGGAAGTTTGGGATTAGGACAAATGGCTAAATATGCTTGAAGAAATAAAGAAAGGCTTCTGAGAGAAAGGAACACTTAAACTGACTTTTAAAAAGAAGCAACAGGAGTTTGCAAGGCAGACAAAAGGGAGAGAGGGCACCTGAGATGAAGAGAATTGCATATTGAAAAATAAATCATAAATTATAATAAGTTATTTATTCCTCTATTCTAATCTTTAACACATCGTATTGTAATCTGTTTACTTATCTGTTTAGAATATAGTTCATGGTCTCTCTGAGAACCAGAATTTTACTTTGTTTCCATTTTCTGTAGTGCCTAGCATATAATAAACACATGACACACTTTTGCTGACTGAATGAATTAATATTTTTTGGTAATTAGTTATTTTTTCTAATTATAATATTAGGTTGGGATTGGGTATGTGTATTGTAATAGGATTTACCTGTAATAGGATTTACTCAAGGTACACTTGAGTTTTTTTTTCTTTAACAAACACAAACACTTTGTACATACTTTTTGGGGGTATACAATCTCTTCCCGGAGGAAGGTGTTTTCTCCAGCATTCTTATCAAAGAGACCCCAGTCCATCTTCAGATCCCAGATGAGAGTATAGCAGGAGCTGATGATGCAGAAGACAATCCACAGGTAAAAGAACACCATGGTGTCTGAGTGATTCCATTCTGAAGAAAGAAAAGGGAAAGGGAAAAGAGAAAATTACTAGATTTAAGTAAAATGCTTCATTAAATAAAACTAATTAAAAAACAGATTCTTTATACACCTCCATAAAAAAAGATTTTAAACAAATCTCCCTAGTAGGATTATTGTCTAACAAAGTTTAAATAATAAATCTGATTCTCCTTCCAAAGTAATCATTAAACATTGAATACATAAAATCGGTACAAATGTGCATTTGGAGTCTTGGAGGCTCTATGCTGAACAAATAAAAATCCAAATAATTGCAATGGAAGTTTTGAATATTACAAAATGATGTCATTTTAAATTTTGCCATCAGGTGGCAGCTTAGGGTCAAAGATGAAAAAAAATGTATGAAACACCACTAACAAGGAATGTGCTGCATTCGTTTCAAGAAATTCTTGGATTGTTTTTACTTTAGAACATTTCCTGCATACACTAAGATCTTGTCAATACTTATTGTGAAGGCAACCAGATAATTTGAATTCTAGATAAAACACCAGAGAGCAACAGACAGAGGAGGAATTATTTTTAAGGATATATATAAAAGCAAATTTCTCTCAAATCACAAACCAAAGCATGATATTTTTGCTTCTTTTAGAGGTTGTTTATTGATACAAAGGCCTAATCCGACTTTATGCTGGGAATAATTTAAAGTAACTTTTAGCTTTATGTTGAGAACACTATAACGTGCACTAAATCAGAATAATAAAAAAATTTGCAAATGTAGTTACACAATTTAGTCTTTTTCACTCTTAAGTGCTTCATATATTCTCTAATGAAATTCTTTTTTGGTAAGTTTGAAAGTCATCAAGATGTTATTTGTGTTCTCTAGGTACAGAATATAGGTTTATAACTACTAATACGGTCCTGAATCATCAGGAAAAAATGGTACAAAACATCTAATTCAAAAAACGTTTGACTTTTGGTTAGTTTCCCAAAGGCACAGAGAGTAAAGAATGTATCATGTATTATCCATAATCCTTCCTATTAAAATAAACACGTGTTTATTAAGCATTTTTAGGTATTAAAGTGTTAAGTACCGTATGAGTCAAAGGCACCCTTTAGAAATGTATAATCTAGTAAGTGAAACAGCCATTTGTTCTTGATAAATTCGAGCTCAAAATAAAGTATAAACAAACTACTACAAGAACACCAAGGAGAATGGGAATGTTTCCAACAGTAGGAAATAAGAGGAAGTAGCATTTGAGTTATTTCTAGAAGGATAAATAAATAGCTTTGCAAAATCAGGCAGATGAGGCAAGGCCATTCAAGGCTGAAGGAAGATAATGAAAAGGTATGGGAGTGGGAAAGTGCAAGGTGTGTTTGAGAAGCTACAAGTAATCTAAATCTAGTGTGGGTGAAATATAGATGATGTAAAGATTTATGATGATTTAAAATGAGGCTTTTGTGCTCGCTTCGGCAGCACATATACTAAAATTGGAACGATTCAGAGAAGATTAGCATGGCCCCTGCGCAAGGATGACACGCAAATTCGTGAAGCGTTCCATATTTTTTAGTATTTTGGTGGTGAACGTGATGTAATCTATGCAGAAATAGAAGTATAATGATGTACACCTGAAATTTTTACAATGTTATAAACCAATGTTACTGCAATAAACAAAAAATTTAAAAAAATAAAATAAAATAAAATAAAATGAGGCTTTTGATGATTTGAAAAAGACATTTTGAGTCTAGCTGTGGAATGCCTTCTTGGGTCTTAGGATCAGATCTGTATTTTAGGAAAATAACTGGTCTGGTTGGCAGGTTGCTTGCATCAGAATTACTTAGTAGGTTAAAAAAATACAGATATATCAGAGTTACAGTGTTGTATCAGTGTCACTTCGAACAAGCTCATGAGAGCTGATAAATGTTCAGAAACTTTATAAGCTGGTTGTAAACACAGTCATTATTAAAAATTAAATTACATAAATTTACAATTAGTTATATTAAAAACAAAGGTAACAAAATCTCAAAATTCATGACTTCTCAATTATTTTACTAAATTTTGCCATTATCTCTTCTTTCAGGTTATTTATGTTTATCGTATCTGTATGATGGAAATACTATATAATGTTGTGCTACTGTACATCTTTTCCCAATACTCAATGTTATTATTTTAGTAGCCTGAACTTGGCTGGGTGGAAGTATTTACACCACGGAAATCAGCAAACACTGCAAATCAGTGCCTCCTAACCGCACCCCCCCGAGCTTGTTTATTAAACACACCAGCACACCACTGTCCAGCCTCTTCTCTTGGAAAGTCAGTGGCAGGGAAGAGAAACTAATATTTTTTAAATGGTCCAAAAGTGATTCTACTGAACAATCAAGCTTGGATATAAACACATTTTCAAGTTTAAACTATTTCCACAAAAACTTTTCTTCATCAAAAGCAAACTGAGTTGAATATTTATACTAAAACATTGTGCCATTTGAGTTACCAATTTAAAAGGTCTAACAAAATACGTATTATCTAGGTTTAGTTGGATGTGTTCTGATGTATCTGTTTATTTCATTCTATAGACAGATACAGGGTCTAGCTGAGTAATACTGTTCATTGTGCCAGGTGCTTTACATATATTTTCTCATTTAGTTTTTGCAACAATAAACAATCATTTTGTTTGCTAGTGAGAGTAACCAAATGAGAATAGAGTAATATTACATTTAGCAGGAGGCTACAAAATAAACTCAAGTGACTATAGGAAATATCAAGTCTTACTAGTGAAAGCTGATTTTCTTTCCTAATTATTGAAGAAATCACGGAATTCAAATTATTATATAAAAGAAGGCTGTGGGGGGAAAAGTAAAAAAAAAAAAAAAAAAAGGAGCTATAAGCCAATTTTCTTTTATTTTTTCTAGATTTTAAATACAAGTCCTATCCTTAGAACATAAATCTTAAAATGGTACAACGGGTCAAGTGCCTTCCTCCTTTCTAAGCCCTTAGTATGTCTATGAAATTTCTATGAAGCAAGCATACATGAGGACTGACTGACTTTTAAAAAACCAAATATCCAAATATTTTAACAGAATATTTTGGAATAAGAAATGTTTTATTGGGGGTCGGCCCAGTGGCGTAGTGGTTAAGTTCATGCGCTCCACTTCTGCGGCCCGGGGTTCAGAGGTTCGGATCCCAGGCACAGACCTACGCACTGCTCATCAAGCCACGCTGTGGCGGCAATCCCACATACAAAATAGAGGAAGATGGGCACAGATGTTCGCTCAGGGCCAATCTTCCTCACGAAAAAAAGAAAAAAAAAAGAAAAGTTTTATCTTATGGACTTCTTCAAACAATGATTAGTGTACATCTGGTCTACATATGCTACATTTTGGTCTCTTTTTAATTATTACCCTTATTTGATCCTTCCCATTCCCAAATGAGGAGTGATTCTCCCTGAACTCATCTGCTTTCATCAGTATTCAGGGGAAGTACTGGAAAGATATCATCACTTTAGGCAAGCAATTACATCTAATTCTCTCTTGGCTAACTGGTAGCCCACTTTAGTGATGTTCGGAATTACAGAAAATCAAGTCATTGCTATTCTACCCTAAGAGTCTATCTATTACACACCTGCCACATTAGACGCATAATTCATACTGGACATATTTATGGTAATGATATCTACTGAATCTAAAACAAATAAAAATAAGCTTCTTAGAGTTTTGTACCCATAGCCATTGTCAGAAGGATAAAGAAAAATAACATGTCAGGAAAAGTGCTAAGAGAGAAATGAGAAAAAGTACACATGGAAATCATTCTAAATCATATTCCAGGGAGGATATTTTAAAAATGAAAAAAGTGGCACCATGTGAAGAGAAAGTGAATGGTCTTCTTTTCAACTAAATATTTCTGCTCTGGTAATAGTTCACTAGCGTTTAACCTGAAATTAAATAAGAAAACAAATAAAATAGACTGGACATCTTTTCAAAGCCTAAACCTATATCAGTAAGCTGAGTTATGAATGAGTTTGGCATCTAGCAAATCCTAGTTCTATTCCTACAACCCAAAAAAATCAAACCACTGAATTATGAGCTTAATATGGCTCTGTGAAAAATTAATGGATATGGACACTTCCCTGATCTTTAATGTGCTTTAGTTAATATGTGAGGTCACATATATTACACCTCCTCAGGTGATTATCATATTTATCCTCAGGGCAGCCAAGACAGACATAATTATTCCCATTTTACAGTTAAGGAAGCTGAAGTTCAGAGAGACAGTAAGTGCAAAGATAACTGGATTTGAAGTTAGAAGATCTGTGTTTGAATCTAGACTCTGACTCTTTCCAACTTTGTTTTTTTTTTTATTTTTTATTTTTTAAAGATTTTATTTATTCATTTTTTTCCCCCCAAAGCCCCAGTAGATAGTTGTATGTCATAGGTTCACATCCTTCTAGTTGCTGTACGTGGGACTCGGCCTCGCGTTGGACGGAGAAGTGGTGCCTCGGGGCGCGCCCGGGATCCGAACCCGGGCCGCCAGCATCAGAGCGCGCGCACTTAACCGCTAAGCCACGGAGCCGGCCCACCAACTTTGTGATTAGAGAAAATTCACAACTTTAAAATGATGGAGACGAAAATGGAAATAATTAGGCCTATGGATAAATGAGGAAATTAGAAATAGGAATGTATCCCAAGAACTATTTGTACTAGACAGTGATGTTTCTCTAAGTCCATCTCACCTCAAAAAGGAAAAAACAGTTCTGCAAAACTATGAAGTAACATTAAAAACATTTCTAAGCTATGTATAAAATAGAATTTTAAAACTATACACATATTATTATTTCATACTCTAAAGAAAACTATGTTTATATAAAAGACAGACGTGGCTATCCCTGATGAAGGAAGTATAATTATTAGGGGACTCACTTTTAATTGTATGTATTTCTGTGTTACTTGAATTTCACTTATACAGTGATATATACATATCTAAGTTTTACTTGTATAATTAAAAATAAAAGAAAAAGACAAGAAAAAAGATACAAAAATTCGC